TCTGCTAGCATGAGTAAAATTGCAGCCTGTTAAGGTTAATCTGTCTATTTAGGGAAAAAGTAGTGATCAAAGGGTTTATGCACCTTTATTTTGTAAATTAACATCTGAAAGAGCGATTATAAAGCAGGATTAATAAGGCTTGTGAAGACAAAAAACACGTAAATGATATTAATTTCGCTTATCACGTGCTAATGCGATGCCCTTGACAGTTACGTTTTGATACCGAAGCCTTCGGGCCGTCATTGTAAGTTGTTTTAACGAGTCATGCTTATCAACGGCACGTGTTTGCATGATCTTACCCGTATGCATTTTTTTCCTAAACATATACATGCGTGCAAAGTTTATATAAAAGAAAAAACTGCATTAGTACCTAAAATATGTATACATTATGGCTGCAAATACAAAAAAGAAGAAGATTATAATGAGGAAGAAGAAGAACAACAAAAAAAAAACAGAAATCGGTTTTTGCTAAGAATTTTATCAAGTTTAGGTATTCGCGAGAATGACTTTTAAATGCAATCGTTCTTCTCGTAAATCAAATTTAAATAGTGGCATGATACACTCACGCGTTTCAGCGTAGTCGAATTTGTATAAGTGAAACATCCCTGACGGCTTTAACTTTACCATTGGCCTTTCTGCAGTTCATTTAAATGTATCTTGAACATTAAATTTTAGATAAGGCTAACATCAATCAATAATATAAGTTGTTAGTAAAAATGTTTTAATATACAAAATTATACAATCCCATTTTATTTATTGTATTAAGATAGTGCTAGGGGGCATGGAGAGTAGCTTACGTTTACCAGTACTGTCTATGAACAATCACAATCAAACAAAGCGAATCTGAAACATTTTCAATTTGTTGTGGTCGTTCTTTAGGGATTGTATTCCTCTTTGTTTTTACAGATGGTAACATTATTCAAGTGTTTCAATATTTCAAACCCATAAAAATAGAAATTATTTATGTATAGAATTTAAATAAATGTATGGAATGTAAAATGTTTTTTAGATTATAAAATATACACTATTATTTGAAATGTATATGCATCTAAGTGATTTTTATCTTGATATGTTTATACGGAAGTAATGCTCTTTTTATGTAACATTTACTAACATAAATTTAGTTATGTCGTTGCCACATATTATTGTCAAATCGCGCTGATTCTTAAAGCCCCGCCTTATTTTAATTAAGGTAATGTGTTCATTCACTGTTGACTATTGAGAACTATTTGCTTATCACGTGCAGTATGTACTTACTAACATGATACATCGATATGAATTGTGTACTGTCCTGCTCTGTGTAAAAATAGCTTACTGCGATCAAGAACGAACCTGGTAGTTTCTTCTAATAAGCTGCCAATGATTGCTCTTGCTCTAGCGCGTGCAAACCATATAATACAGAAACCAATTTCTTTATACAAAATATGAATAACAACATCTACCGAATAAAATAATATCTTTTTACATAGCTTTTGCATTTTTTTCGTACAAAACCATTCGCTCCTATTGTATCCCAGTAAATATCTTGCCCTTTGCAGTTGTTTTATATGCATCACAGGTAAATATTGAGAGATGGTGACTTTCTCGGTCTGAAATTGCTCGTGTTTTTTTTCCAGATAAGTATGCCTGAAAAAATATGCATTTTACTCTTGGTTGTTTACTGACTCCATATTAATTAATTTACAAAGTAATACATGCACTCTACAGCGCTTTATAAAATAAAAATATGAATTGTTCGTGAGAGACAGAGTTTGTTTTATAAAGGACTTTAAAAGTGCATTACCAAATATATCGACATATGTTCTTTCTTAATCGTCAGTTTATCGATATGTGCTGTACGGAACAAATTTGAAATATTGTATTAATATGAAAGGAAATGTTATCTTAAAATGTGTTTATGAGACTATATGTATCTCGATAAGCTAGTGACAGATTTATGTTAATGAAAAGGCATCAAAATTTAATGTTAACATATAGGCATAAATTGTTTTCCTCTTGGGCAATCTTAGCATCTGCAAGTGAATAAATTTACTTGTCCTTGCAACCACAAATAGATATGGAATTTGAACGAACTTTAAGACTAATAAAGATTTAAGGAATAAGAGTTTCTTATGTTTGTATTTGAAAATGGTATTTTATACGTTAGCACCGTCGGACCATTAACTGTGTTCCATGGTAATTTACTTATAATAAGCTATATTCTTATCCTTTAGGGATATGAGTAATCAAGCTTATCCTATCTAACAAAATTGTCGCAACATGTGAAATAAAATATTATTATTTTACGAAGATTTTAACCATTTTAATACGGTCTATATGAAATGTATACCAACAATTTGTTACAATTCCAGTTACTTACTTGTTAAGTGGATATATTTCTATCAAATGTCTGTACAAAGCCTAGGTTTGGTTAACATATAAATCAAATTAGATAAGTGCTAAATTAGTCATATCAAACTTGCCTGATGAAATAAATTTAGCAATCACTTAACCTTGTATGATTAACCTTATTCAAATACAGCTATTGCGAAACGAAACGATGTTTAAAAAAATAAATGAAAGACAAATTCAATTAAAACAGCAGAGCACAAAAATGATATCTAAATTTGATTTGAGTGCAGTGACATTATGTTGTCTTATTTAATTATTATGGGAAGATAATTAAAGGAAATAAAGCTGTATTCTGTTTCTTATGGAGATTTGGAAAGTGTTGTTTTTTTTTAAAACGCACATTTTTTTTTCAGCAAAATATTTTAGCTTTCTGTGAAATTTAGGTGGAAAGTAATTGACACCAATTTGAAAAATTCAAAACAATAGTTTGCCCATTCCATAAACGATATTAAAATGATTGTAACTGTAAGTACTTCTACAACATATTTGTTAGAATAAAATAAAACAAAGTTATTAGCTTACTAATAGTTGACTAAGGAAAAGGTACACAAATGTAATGCTCAATGTTGAAACAAGACTTAATTCAATTTTGCCGTGTTGGGCTTTCTTTAGGGATTCTGTATATATCTATTTTAAAAGAAAGCCACACGCTCCTTTATGCAATTATAGATAATTAACAATAATACCCCCGTAGCCGAAACTATTATTTAAAAGTAGGAAGTCTGAACTGAAAATGTGTTTAAAATGCAGTTATGATGTCATCTTTAAGTTAAATAATCTTATTAACTCTATTTACCGATATAAATATGCTTACGTCATCCGACGAAGACAAGTTTGCAATGAATTCTTAAAGTTTAATGTTTAAACATTACTATACACATCTCTAAAACATATGGAAAAGAAACAGACGTTATTTAGTTCTTACTCCGAATTATGATTAATCTGACCCATAGCTATGTGCGTATAAGAAAGGGAACATAGGGAAAGGCAGCAAACGTTTGTGATTAATGTGTCGGCAAAATAGAACTACAGCGTATTACACTGAATATTGTAATAATGATGAACGGGGTAAATTGTAATCAATAAAACAACCTTGTACATAAAAGTGTCTACAAAGGAAAAAGGTACTATTTTACCAAAGCCATTTAATTTTATAAATTGTCACATTGTTTGTTGCAAGTTTTGTTTATTGTCATCTAAAATCAATGCTGACATTTAGTTTAAACAATATTTTATTCATTAATAATAATAGTAATAATAATAATAATTTAATAATTTTATTTATATTCCACACATTTACGTTATAAAGTACATAAAATAACATTTACGGATTGAGCAGAAAGCTTGTACTAAGCTTTTTCGAAAACTCTTTCCGTAAAATGTAAAATGTTGACATTTATAATATGTCAATTTAAATTAGATTGAAGTATGTGATTGAAACTATTCATTTATATAATTTTATTTATTCCAAGTTGCACCCTTACAAAGTCAATTTAACCAATCAGCATTTTGTTCTCGCTCCGAAACTTTACTCAGTATAGCAAAATGAGGTCGGGCCTTTGTTACTGTAATTATTTTTCAATGAAACTAAAATCTAATTTCCACAATTCTCAGGTTTAACTAACTTAACTGTTTTATCTAACATTGAACAAAAGCAGCACAGTTTTTTTAGATTACTACAGGTCCGAGCTTTGTTATTAGAATGGTTAAAAAATGTAAGTAGTTTATCAGTCTTAGATCTTTTTTGAAAACTTAAAATAAAGAATATTAATTGCTTGTTTTTTTATATATTTTTTTCAGGAATGTAAACAAAAGAATAATTTATATATTGTAAATATCTGTCACATCTATCTAGGTCACGTACCCGCAAAACGTTAATACGTTCGTAAGCTTCGATAAATACTTAAGTTTCAGACAAGCAACTTCATAAAAGACAAATTAAAGTGTGGGGGAGTCCGATTTCTGAACGAGCAATCGTTAAAAGTACATTTATCGAATGTCACGGTTCTGTCACAAGAAACAATAACGATTTTAAAAGTACAAAATGTGCTACATATTGCGCAATAAAATTCAAATAGACAAAACATTGAACATTTTCAAAATAAATTATTTAATGTGAAATTAAGTTTTTTAAGGACAAAAGTTTGGAATTATATCTAATTCAGTATGATTGAAAATTGGGTTGCTTATTTCTCTATTTAAAAGGACCTTGTTTTTTACTGTGTTCCGTCCAACTTTATTTATTTATTTATTTATTTATCTAATAAGGAAGCTAGATATCAGATAAGATTTGTCATCGTCTGAAAAGTGTTTCGTCTATTGTGTGAAAGTACTTTTATAAAATAGGTTTGTAGCAATCACCTACAGTACAGTGTTCCGTCCAAGCCTAATGACTTCTTAGAAACTGTTTTATTTAGAATTCTCGTTGAATTTAATTTGCGGTCATCATGGAAACATTCTAAAATTAGATTGGGGCTTAATACGCCATAAAAGTGATTATATTATATTGAAAATGTAATGCCGGCGCTGGGAAATTGGCCTAACCAAAGTACATTAAGTGCAATAAAAGTAACACACGGTTCATTTATAAGATTTATTCCAAATTAAAACAAATTATAAGAATGAACATGTACACAATAAGTTGTATATATTTGATATTATGAATGAACTAGCATTCTTTTAAAAACATACGATTTCAAAGATGAAACAACAATTGTGTCACATAAGTGACGTTAACAAGAATGTGTACAATAAAGAAATATTGAATTTTCAGTGTTCTGCCTTTTCTATTCCCAATAGCACCGGTTTCAAGCAGAATGCAACATTTATATAAATTATAAGTTTAAAAGAATGAACAATCGACATGCATACATCAGACTGTTTACACTTGATTCAGTTATCAGTAAAGTAAATATTAAACATTTCTTATAATCATACACATTTACCACATAAGTTATTATAACGAAACCAGAATAGTCTTTTTGTAATTCATCGTAATCTTAATCTGCTTGCGTCAAATTATTCTTCCAATGCAGCAAGTTCAGACCAACATTCGATTGTGGTATGCACTTTCGCTACTTCGGATAGTTAGCGTGCGTGGCAAGGATTGAATATTTACATGCAATAGAATCAACAAAATTAATGACGAACAAATCTGGACCAGCCAAACTTAACACTATTATTGATATTAAATGTTAAAAAAAACCCTGTCAAATGTATAACATAATCATTCTTATGTGATTTATATCCAAACTCAAACCAAATCATTTTTGTCAAATTATATGTTAAAAATATTCATTATACCCGTAAAGTTATTCGTAATATTGGATGATCTGATGCGGAAACACTGTCTTCATACAATATGTTTTCTTCCTCAGTTGATACTGGATCACTGTGTCTCATGTTGTTGAAATCCTGTCTTTTTAGCACATCTATATCCTGATACGATGCCACATTAACATTTGGACGCGGTGACAAAAAACTTTGACGTCGATTTGTACATCTTTTATGACGACATAATGCATGTAAACCACCGTCAGAATGTGCATGTGAACTACAACTTGAGCTTCCTTCCTTACTGGTTCGATTCAGTAAAGTATCCTTTGTTAATTGTTTTTCAGTAATCACACCTTTCCTTACAGAATGAGTAAATTGTTTCTCGTTTCTATAAAAAGTCACCAGGCGCATCTGGTTTCTTTCTGGAACGTACTCTTTTGAATTAGCCTGGACATCTGGTTGTAAATGCCCGTCATTGTTAATAAATTTTGCCTTGAGCATATAAAACGTTGGCAGAGAATTGATATTAACACAACATCTGCAGAGTGTCCGTTTGAAAGCCCGACGGAATTTCCTTGACAGTAAATTATACAGAATTGGGTTGACCGTACAACTGAAAAAATACAGTACCCCTGAAAGTAGACAAGTATTAAATGTTATACATAAATACATATACATTCTTATGAGATGCAATCATGTTTTTTATCAAGATACTTGCTTATTTTGTGATTATTCAATAATCATGTCAATGGCTTTTCTACTTATGGCGATATCAAAAGCATATGAAATGCGAACATTTATCTTAATGATTACAAAGTTACAATTATAATATGAATTTATTAATCGGCAACTTTGAATAGCCACAATCAAACTTCGAAAGACCGGTGGGTCAACTTAATGAATTCCCGATTACAACTTCATGAATTCTCGATTTCAACTTCACGAATTCACAATTTCAACTTCATGAATTCACGATTTTTACTTCATGAATTCACGATTTCAACTTCAATTCGTGAAGTTCAAATCGTGAATTCATGAAGTTAAAACTGTGAATTCACGAAGTTGAATTCGTGAAGTTAAAATCGTGAATTCATGAAGTTGAAATCGCGAAGTTGAAATCGTGAATTCATGAAGTTGAAATCGTGAATTCGTGAAGTTGAAGACGTGAATTCACGAAGCTGAAATCGTGAATTCGCGAATTCCGTCTGTTTAAACCGGAAATTCACGAAGTTTATAATTGTGAATTCATGAAGATGAAATCGGGAATTCATGAAGTTGAAATGGCCCTACCGGTCTTTCGTTTCAAATCGTCCCTGCAAAACAATCAAATTTTCGATTTTGCTGAACTTTATTTGGCTTTTGGTTTTTGACAGGAAGAATCGTGTAACAAATAAAAACATAAATCAAACAGATATAGACTATCATATGGATATGTTTTTGTTTTAAATAATATAATTAAATTTTATGTCATATATCGACCTGTCGGCGACCAGTTAATACTAACTTCAACTGGTATACCCTGTTGTTTAAATATTTCTGTACTGTCACTACAACTGATTATTTTTGTCTAGATTTTGTCCAGATTGCAAGATAGACAAGTCCATTTGTGATATTAATTGTTTTCAAGGCTAAGCAAATATCGTTACTTGAATAAGTGAAATAACCGATACGAGATTATTTTCTCAAATTTGTTCCAACTGTTCATTACATGATAAATATAGTATAAAACAAAAGTTTACACAATATTGTTGCAAATGGTTTATAGGGTATAACGCCATGATATCTTACGAAACATGTATATGAAATCTTACAACTTGAAACAAATATATTGTAAACTTCGGGAAGCAGAAATTAAGCTTTCTACACTTTAAGCTTCATGTTTTTATGTCATTAAAACATCCCGTCTCCGAACAAGAAGAGGGATTAAATATTTCGAAATCTCTCGAAGAAAACAGTATTATATAGAATGGATCAAGTGTAAATGTTATAAGATGTCATTGACATGTTTTGTGTCTGATATGTTTTTATGATATATAGATAAACCTCATGAATATAATTGAAAACATTAATGCAACAAGAAGAAAATAAAAGTCAAATTAAGCCAATATATAATACTACTGTGGATGTCAGGGAAGGGTGTTTAGCATTATTTTAGGATAACGCGATTTGAAGTACAGTTCTAGATTTAGATGTTCCTTATTATTTGGTAATACTTGTAAAACACGAACATTTATACACGTAAATCAGACAAACAGTACACAAATACAAAACGCGATTTTAGAGGTATGTCAACAGTTAGATGGAATTAATATTGGCAAAGTTTCAAAATACGTATGTTAGTACAACAGACAGGTACAAAAATACGCAAACAAGTTTACAATATCCATATCCGAAGCACAACGTTAATCAATGGGTAATGATAAAAATAATTAAACATAAACAAATAGTATGCCTTACATTACTTAGTCATTGCACACTATATTAATGAACTTTAAGAAATATTTAATTAAATAATGCATGTTTACATTTAGGCCTTTTCGAATTTAGATAATCTTTATCATAACTATTGTTTTGTTTGTTTAAAATTGTTGGTTACCTGAAACATAAAATAAGTAGCTCTGTACTTCAATCAATTGTTTGGTCCAAGTTTTTATATACAATGTCATCAGTCGTTGAGCATGGAATGGAGCCCAGCAAAGGAAAAAGGCAACAACAACAGCAACTGTAAAGAAATTTTTTTAAAAATAATGAAATAAATATGTTAACATCAGCTAAAAGAGATAAGTAAACATGTATTATTATCTAATATTCAGTATACTAGTATTTTGTAGAAACTCTCACTTTAGTTAAAGTCGTGGGTGCTTCATGGACAGTTTATTGAATCACAAGTGCTTTATGACATTTTCCTAAAATAATAATAATAATAATAATAATAGAAATAATAATAATAATAGTAATATGAGTAATAATAAAAATAATAATAATGAAGATAAAAAAATGCACGGACATGCTGCAATCTTTGTTCAAACATATTAATTAACAGTTTCACTTAATGAAATACCGTAAACAATTTTCTTGCTCTTTTTCTTTGATATGCAACAAAATAAAAACACATAATAATACCAAGCATTTTCAGGATTGCCCGTCTCGCTCGTGCAGCAGTAGCTTTGCCATACTGTGGAGATCGAGGCGCTGATAACGCACTTTCTCTTAACTTTACACCAATAAGAATATAAAATAATGTTATCACTACCATCGGTACAATAAAATAAATAAATGTTGACATTTGGAACACTGTGATCATTCTTTCCGTCCAAATTAATGGAATATTACACACAAGGGAATCAAGAATAGGTTCACCGGTAGACGGATCGTGTAGATAATAAAACGTTCTTGTATGAATTGGATATGGCAAGGCACTAAACACCGACACTGTCCAAATCAGTATGATACATCTCGTGGCTCGAGACACATGACAACAACGCTGAACTTTAATTGGATGACAAATTGCTATGTATCGTTCAATTGTAAATCCAGTAATTGTAAGCACCGATGAATAAGAAGTCATTTCCATAATAAACGATCTTAGTATACAAAATGGTTCCCCGAGTCGCCATGGATATGCTTCCCAAATGGAGTAGACTTCTGGAGGAAGCGCTGAAGCAAATAAACATAAGTAGTTAACAGTTTTATAGGTATGTGGAAAGTAGAACATCACTTGGCAAATATGGTCATAATTTTCAAGTGAATATAATGTACACATATACAATATACACATAATTAAAATATTTTTTTTCAATACAAATGCAATCATTTTCAAATTGACATATAATCTGCATTCTACATGTATCTTCAATGTAAAATGACATTGTTAATCGTTAAAGCATTTAAATATTCGAAGCGACATCACAAATAAATTTTATTTTCAAGATCAGCATAACTCTGAAATATGTGGTTGCTTTCTTTTCTTTCAATTATTTGGAATTATCGTTTAGCCAAGGTTAGAAAACCTTTACTCAAAAAACAAAACACAAATAAAAGTTAAAATGCCTTAACGATCTGTAACGTTTTTTTTCTTCTTTTCTTTTATGTAATAAATGTGAACTTGAAACTACCATTTGCGCCCTGTTCTAGACAATTGCTATGACAATAAAAATAGGTTCAAGAAAATCAACATTATGATACAAATAAGACGACTGGCATTTTCAAATGAAACTATGTTACTAGTTCATCAATTGAACTAAAATAGCTGCATGTATCGTTATGAGACCAATGCTTAGGTGCATAATCAATTTGATTTATGTTCAAAAAGGGTTTCCTATCACTTTTTTTTTAAATTCTTTAAAATAAAATTCACCAAAGTTCAAATTTGTCATTATCAGATAAAAATCAGTTATTATATAATATTGGAAATTGATGTCTCGACACTGCAGTTTCAGTTTTACTTTATTTACAAAAAATAAATTTGGACATAATATAACAAGACATGGAATTTGATATTAGTATCTCGTGTATATTCGCCGCCATTTTATCTTGCTGATTGTTGAAGAGGAAAATATTGTCCTGAGAGCGCTGTGTACACCAAAAACAAAAATAAGAAAATAAGGCTGATTGTGGGAGACTCTAACTGTCATTTTGTATTGAAATAGTATGGACATGATGCAATAAAAAATTGGAAATGTAATTTTTATAACAGAAGGCATTACTATGTGATTGGAAAATGTCACTTCTATCGATCTTATGGCTGTTTATTTTCGGCAATATAGTACAGCTTGTCACGTTGTTAGTTGCTTGTTTCGTTATATGATAATAATTATGATAATGTCAAGGATTATTATATTGTCCAAATAGTAGAATACGTTTGTATAATTATAATAACTTTACATTTTTCGCTATGTTCAAAAACAAATAAGAAAAAGGTTCCTTTCTCGGTAAATTAATAGTATTTTAGACACGGAGTCATCCCAAACGTAAACATCTTCATGTATAAATTAAAGGAAAAGGTAATTTGAAATTAATAAAAACTATACTTTCTATCGGTTATATACATAATACATATTTATATAATCGAAATGTTTCATTAATTGTGTGTTAATAATAGTTGGCCACATGCCAACGACAAGTATGTTAGATTTGTTTAAAAAAGTGTTATTATGCTTTTTACAGTAAGTGGTGATTGCTACAACAATTTAAATCACTGTTCCGTTTAAAATAATGGGTACTGTGTTAAACATTTTATCTTATTGTATTTGAAAGCTTATGACAATAAACAAGGTTATTGCATATAGAAACATGCGATAAAACTAAGTGCAAAATTACATTGTTTGCAATACTTGAGTGCCAAATATTCATATTTACCTCGAGAATGTCATCAAATAAATGCAATGCATGAACACTAGTAAGTTCATTTTCTCCATATCTATAAACGTTTAAACAATATACAAAGATATGCATAATTGGATTTTATTCAATATTATATAATAAATTCTAAAGGATGTATTACCATGAATATATATTTGATATATTTGTGTATTTGATGGTATCTTCAATTGTTCAAATATGCATTTCATGCCTACACACCGCTATAAATATATTTGATCACTTAAGAACAATGACGAGTAATTATATTTATTTTTTATTGTATTACATGCTATGCATATTCAGAAAAATAGATGTCACCTTTTCGATCACATCCTCAAAGATATATTCTTCCGATATTTCATATTTAAAAATAGATATTATATATATTTTTCTGAATATGGTAGATTTGTTGCTTTTAAAACTCTACATACTATTAGTTAACGCAACTTAAATAAAAAAAACTCGCAGTTTTCTTTTAAAGAAGGGACCAACTAAAAATAATATAAAACATACAGAACACACAGCGTCCTTGCATTGTGTGTGAATTATTTTGGTCAAATTTTATTTATTCGTTAGGATGCTTTTATTAAATGTAATTAAAATATTTCATTCAAAGATGAACACAGTATATATTTTGTGAGACGAAGGATTACATTCATTTGAAAACATAGCATCATATTCCAGTATATGTATTCTTGAACATCTTTAAATCATATAATTGCGATAGTGTGTGTATTAAAGTCACATATATGAAAAAATCCTACATTTATATCAATGTAAAGTACTGGATAAAGTGTATTAATGCCTACCTAAAACAAGAGTAAGTAAATCCGATATCGCTAAATTGAATAAATAATAATTTGTCACAGAATGCATGTAGCTATTTTTCCATATAACAATGCACGTGCATAAATTTCCAGCTAATCCACTGATAAATATTATGCAATAAACACCAATTAGAAATATTACTGACACAGTATCCTTCCTTCGTTCTCCCAGATTTGAAAATAAATGTTGTTCTATATTCAATTCACCAATAGTCGAAGACATTAGTTGGTCTGATAAATTAGTCCATATTTCACTTGATACATTTTCATACTTCTTTCCCATTCTAATTAAGATCATGCAAGAAAATCCAGGTATTTTTGTTATTTTTGTACACGTCACATTTTTATATCATATATTTGAAACCAACGGTATATATCCATTGAAATATTGATTGCTCACTTATTTATTTTTTTCTAATGATTAGTTCTGTTATTATTATCCTCATCAATAAAATATGCATCTTGCAATTCCATGTTTACATAACTACATGTTTATAATGAAATACTAAAGTTTAAGCTTAAACTTATTACGTTATCAAATAATCAGAAAACACGGTATAAATATATTTGTATTATAATTATTCACATTCAAACAATGTAATTCTAATGCTGTTATTCGGATAATATATGCTTGTCTTTAATTTCACCAATAATGGTAAAACGTAGTGTTATCCTTTTAGAAACAAATCCGATAGGTCCGTTCGCATTCACTGAAAGTCAATCTCTGATTGCAATAAAGGAAAACGTTTTTTATAGAGTTAGAGAAAATCTATACTGCGTTCAACAACAAATTCCGATTCTCTCTACAATTGTGAAAAAAGCTCTTCTGATTCGTTCTACTGAAGGGATATCGTCTTTTTAAATATGTTATTCTGTATAATATATTACAGTAACATTTTATTGTTTATTTTTATAAAAAACGCACAAAAATACGATTTTCTGAAAAGAAAAAAAGGAAAATCATATTTACAATATTTATAGTAAGCGAATGCTTCATCTACTTTTAAAGAATTGTTCGCATGCGTGAAGTTTAAATTGTATATTACAGTTTCATGTTGCTTTCGTTGTACAGTGTACCTAGTTGTCCATAAATTTATGTTATATAAATTATAATGTTAAAAAGTATATTATAATTATTGCTGATTTAAGGTAGAACAATTGATTTACCTATAAGAAAAATAATGTGCCAGTATTTTCTATCCTTTGACTTTAAAGTAAATAACGCGCTTGTGCAAATAACAGTACTGTAGCGTTTTCATATAAAGCAACATCTGTTTATACTTAATGAAGATACAGTATCCTGATTGTTAAAAATGTCATTGGATGTCAAGAATGATCTGGTCAGTTTTGATACAGAATAAAGCTGTCATACATATTGTTCAAGATGTCGACTTCTGTATTGAAATTGATATGACAACAGTAATATGTTTACTGTATCATAAAATATATCAATAGCAACAAAAGAATATCACCATGACATTACAGAGTTAGGACATAAGATAGCTTTCATATGATTTAACCAATAAAATGGATAAATCTATATATCTGCTGCAAAAGTTGTGTTTCAATTTTTAGACAGAATGCCTCCCAAAATGCTTGAATATATGAGATAAATATGGTATTAAATGTGTTTAAAAGCTATTGGCGCATGCACAAAAGTCATGCTCAACGGATAACACCATATTTAAATAGCTGATAAGTATTTTGTTCAGGAATATTTTAATCTGTTTACGTGCATTACTCATCTTAGCCATCTTCGGGACCAACCTTATCGAGACCGACCATAAGGTTTGGGAACCAATATTATTTTACTGTTGATGTAATCAACATATTAAGAGACATTTCTGATTAGGGATGCAAAGGATTTTTATCAGTAAAATGAAATTAAAAGTGTCGTGTTTCTTCATATAATACTATAGGCTCTTTCAAAAAGGAAATTATTTTAAACAAAATGTTGCGTGTTAACTTTTTTAAATAGCACCCATATTGATTAGTTGAATAGTGTGTCTTTCTGTTCCTCGTGAACATATATTGTTTATACTAAATAATACGAAATACAATAAATGAAAATAGTGAAGGTCATGTCAAGCATTATTTTAAATCAGGAATTCTACCATTGTTAACTGGATCAAATAAGTATAACCTCATCTGCACCAGAACCTTGGCAATGTTTACAGCAGACAATTAAGTTTGTGACCATATCGGAACTTGGATAACATAAATGCCGCAAAAGGATATAAATCTTTATGATATATTATTTATGTAAAACGCAATATAGAAAAATTAAATCACGATCCTACCATTTTTATTATTTTTATTATAATTATTATTATTTCTATAATTATCATTATTATTATTTAATTTTATCATTATTTTTTTTATTATTATGATTATTATTATGATTATTATTATTATTATTATTATTATTACTTGTATCAAACAAATAAATCATTTCTATACATCAAATTATAATATGAAACATCGTTTTCTATTTCTTTAGAATTTTGCTTTTAATATATTTATAAATTAGGTTAACAGCAAATGAAAATGGAAAATAAACGGTACAGTTTTTGGGAAAAAAATTCTTGACTTTTTGTATCATTGCCACATTTTTTCGTTGGCTTAATATAAAACATAATCTACAGGTATGAAACGTGTGTGTTTTGTACTTGATGCAAGCGCGGTGGTATTTAGATAATATCTGACATATTAATTGCTATGAAAAAAAGCTAGAGTTGTGTAACCTTTTCTGCGAGAGAAGAAAAGAAAAAGTCATATTATTTTCATAATTAAACGAAGCAACAAGTTGTAGCAAGATGGCTCATAAATGAAAGATTCATATAAAAATCAAACTAATTTTAGCATGCCTGCTTAACTAAATCCGGAGTATATAAATGAAAACCATCAAGATTTACCACATAAATAAAAGATGGAAAACAAATGAAAACGTGGAACAAATTCCAATTACGCATTTAACATTAAATTACTTAAATGCTCACTTGGCACTGTATCATTGTAAATATGTCTATATGGCGATATATCTTAAATAAAACTTCCACTAAAAATCATTGTACAAACATAAACATAGGAATGATGACTAATCAAGGGATAAACTATTTGACTGTTACTAGTTTTACATTTATAATTTGCTATGTTTTGCAGCAATAAATCGCTATTTTTCTGAAGATGTCGATAATGACGATACAAATAAAACATCATTTTGAGTACTTTATTTGCATTAAATGCAGTAATATCTTTTATATGCAAGGAATTTTATCGGTATCATTTCACTTGTAACATCAGTCATGTGAATTAATATTCTCTAACTTGTTTTTATGTTGAATTCTGCTTAAGCGTGGATGGGAACTTGCATTTTCCAGTACCGTCTATGAACGAGCCTACAACATTTTCAATTTTGCTTTCTTATGCTTTCTTTAGCGATTCTGTTTTTCTCTATTGTATTGTCACATCAGTGTTATTTGTGCGGTTTGGCGGCTATATAATGTCTCCCCGTATATATAATCAAAGATGTTATATATTTTCGACATTGAAGATCGTTCAGCACAATATTATTGTTGTGTATGCATGTTATGTGTAATTTTTATTTTATTTCTATTTGGCCTTTTTCAACTTGGGTTGTTTCAGTATTCATACTTGAATACTGTATAATCACATTTAGGTTATGTTTTTGCTTTTTAAAATTGTCTTTTCACGTCTTTTCTGTGATATTCAGGCTTCATAATCTCAGTTCCCCTTTCAAAATTCCATTTTATTTAGTTCCGCCCATTGTTTTCTCGTTTAGGGTACACGCTTTTTTATTAATTGGGGACCATACGTTTCTAAATTCAATAGTTCATCATTTCCATGTTAAATGTTGAATTTTGCTTAAGCCGGTGCTAGCGGTGTGGACGGTAATTTGCACTATCGAGCACGATCCATGAACAGGTTCAATCAAACCAAGCCTGCAACATTTTCAATTTTGCTTTGTTGGGCTTTCTTTAGGGATTATATTTTTCTCTATTTTATTGTCACACCAGTGTTTTTTTCTGCCGTGTAGCGGCTGTAAAAAGTTGTTTCCCATACATTTAATCAAAGATGTTATATTTTCGGTCCTTGAAGATTGTTCATCACGACATTATTGTTGTGTATGCATGTTATGCGGTATATTTATTTTTTTCTATGTGGCCTTTTTCAACTTGTTTTGTTCCAGTATTCCTACTTGAATACTGTATAATGACCCGTATGTTATGTTGCCTGCTTGTTAACGTCTTATCCGTGATATACAGGCTTCATAATCTCAGATCCCCTTTCAAACATCCATTTAATTTAGTTCTGCCCAATGTTTTCTCGATTAGGGCACATGCTTTTTATTAATTGAAGACAATACGTAACTTTTCATGGAATGGCACTAACGTGTCATATAGAAGGTTCTATGATGGCAGCTATATGAACACATCTGCGGATATTTCTAAATTCAAAATTTCACCATTACCATGTTTAAATGTTAAATTCTGCTTAAGCCAGTGAAAGGAGGCTTGCACGGTAACTTGCACTTTCCAGTACCGTCCATGAATAGGCTCAATCAAACCGAGCCTGAAACATTTTTAATTTTGCTTTGTCGGGCTTTCTTTAGGGATTCTGTTTTTTTCCTTTTTTATAATATTCTGTGTTCTATTAATGTTATTAAGGTAGACCATGGGTAATGGGCACTATAAGGAACTGTAAAAATGACAACATAGGATAGTTATATGTCTTCAAGGTCACCTGTATGCAAAATTTAAATAAAATTTACGTGTGTGGTTCATGAGTTATGGATTTATTTCTGAACTAAGACTTTGCTATTAGAAGGGCTTATTTTCAGAAATGAGGCAACTCTAAATAATCTGTAATATCATCATTATGAAAAATGTTTTCCTATTGCTCATTGTTAAGAAACAGATAATAACATTCAGGTAACAAATTACACAAGCAAAATGTTTGTTTCTAAACAAAATGTTCTTAATCTGTATAAAAATGTTACCCTACCCCACCCACTTTAAACACTAATTTGACCATTTCCCTATATAAAAGCCTTATTCAAAATATCCCTAAAATTTACCACAATAAGGGGCTGTTTTCAAAGTTTGCCTAAATTTCCTTTAAGGTATATTGGTTGATCATACAAAATATAAAATACTTTTACCGTGTAGTTTTTATTTTATTGAACTTTGAAAATATCTGGTATCATATTTACTATAAATTTTGGCATTATTTAGCAAATAAATACCTACAATAATTATATAATTAAAATCAAACACTTTTTTCTTCCATAAGGGATCAGGGAGATACATAAATAATAAGAAAAAAGAAAGAAAAAGAAAGTTGCCCCTTCTGGGGTTTGAACCCGCGCCCCTCAATTTTAATGTAGTTGACAAGTGATTCTAGCCTATTTGAATACTCTTCAAAGTGGAGGTAATGCATTACCCATGGTCTACCTTAACAACATAATATTCGAGTATTAAGATTTTCAACTTAATTTTGATCATATTTTTTATAATCCTAAATTGCCATGTTTTCATTATTTTGATTTATTGTCACTTGACCAGTGTAAGAATTTCTCATTTTGTTTAAAATTAAGGATGTTTACACCTTAGTAGTGCTCCTTTAATGTCTATATCTGTATTAAATGTATGTGTGTTAACGTGACGTGTGATTTCCGGCTTAACTTTACCCATCAAAACAAATATACATAAATCACTGGTTACATATCCGAGGTGTATGTTTACATTACAGAACGATTCAAATGCAAGGTGTACACATTTACAAAGAAAAAATA